TATTTACATCCAAATCAGGTGAACGGTGTAGGAATTACAACAGTTTGCATATGTGCCTCCCACTTCTTAAGGGACCAAAAGTAATGGGACAGAATAATAATCATAAATCAAACTTTCACTTTTTAATACTTGGTTGCAAATCCTTTGCAGTCAATTACAGCCTGAAGTCTGGAACGCAGAGACATCACCAGAGGCTGGGTTTCATCTCTGGTGATGCTCTGCCAGGCCTCTACTGCAACTGTCCTCAGTTCCTGCTTGTTCTTGGGGCATTTTCCCTTCAGTTTTGTCTTCAGCAAGTGAAATGCATGCTCAATCGGATTCAGGTCAGGTGATTGACTTGGCCATTGCATAACATTCCACTTCTTTCCCTTAAAAAACTCTTTGGTTGCTTTTGCAGTATGCTTTAGGTCATTGTCCATCTGCACTGTGAAGCGGGGTCCAATGGGTTCTGAAGCATTTGGCTGAATATGAGCAGATAATATTGCCCGAAACACTTCAGAATTCATCCTGCTGCTTTTGTCAGCAGTCACATCAATAATTACAAGACAACCAGTTCCATTGGCAGCCATACATGCCCACGCCATGACACTACCACCACCATGCTTCACTGATGAGGTGGTATGCATAGGATCATGAGCAGTTCCTTTCCTTCTCCATACTCTTTTACTCACATCACTCTGGTACAAGTTGATCTTGGTCTCATCTGTCCATAGGATGTTGTTCAAGAACTGTGAAGGCTTTTTTAGATGTCGTTTGGCAAACTCTAATCTGGCCTTCCTGTTTTTGAGGCTCACCAATGGTTTACATCTTTTGGTGAACCCTCTGTATTCACTCTGGTGAAGTCTTCTCTTGATTGTTGACTTTGACACACATACACCTACCTCCTGGAGAGTGTTCTTGATCTGGCCAGCTGTTGTGAAGGGTGTTTTTTTCACCAGGGAAAGAATTCTTCGGTCATCCACCACAGTTGTTTTCCATGGTCTTCCGGGTCTTTTGGTGTTGCTGAGCTCACCGGTGCGTTCCTTCTTTTTAAGAATGTTCCAAACAGTTGTTTTGACCATGCCTAATGTTTTTGCTATCTCTCTGATGGGTTTGTTTTGTTTTTTCAGTCTAATGATGGCTTGCTTCACTGATAGTGACAGCTCTTTGGATCTCATCTTGAGTTGACAGCAACAGATTCCAAATGCAAATAGTACACTTGAAATTAACTCTGGACCTTTTATCTGCTCATTGTAATTGGGATAATGAGAGAATAACACACACCTGGCCATGGAACAGCTGAGAAGCCAATTGTCCCATTACTTTTGGTCCCTTAAGAAGTGGGAGGCACATATGCAAACTGTTGTAATTCCTACACCGTTCACCTGATTTGGATGTAAATACCCTCAAATTAAAGCTGACAGTCTGCAGTTAAAGCACATCTTGTTTGTTTCATTTCAAATCCATTGTGGTGGTGTATAGAGCCAAAAATGTTAGAATTGTGTCGATGTCCCAATATTTATGGACCTGACTGTAACTCAGGTATCTTCTTCTTTCATGTGGTTTGTGGTGTGAAAGGGTCCAATTTCCCACATTGTTCCCTGATGATATAGAGGTTTCCCATTGGCTTTCTGAAGTCAATCACTACTAGCAGAAGTGATGGGGAATGTCACATGATGGCAGATTTAAGAAATTATAATTGGGTTTTAGAAGATTATTTATATATATATATAAAATAAATAATGTGATAAAGTGAATACAGTGATTGAATGGGGATTAGCATGAACTGGCCGACATTTGGCCTTGTATAGCAGCCTTGCATCATAAACAGACAATGAAATATCACATTTCCAGCAGAGGGTCAGAGTGTCAGTCTACATAACTTAGCTCGAGCAGCGTAGTGTGTGTCAGGAAATCTGCTTGTATGGTCTATCAATCTTCTGCATAATGCATGGAGTTATCTTGTAGATACACTATAAGGGTAGGGGTATTGGGACCCCTAGGGGGTCCTGTTATCCTGTAGATACATTATTGGGGGAGGGGTATTGGGACACCCCTCCAAATCATTGGATTCAGGTGTTCCAATCCCCTCCATGGCCACAGGTATATAAAATCAAGCAACTAGGCATGCAGACTGCTTCTACAAACATTTGTGAAAGAATGGGTTGCTCTCAGGAGCTCAGTGAATTCAAGCGTGATACCTTGATAGGTTGCCCCCTGTGCAATAAGTCCATCCGTGAAATTTCCTGGCTACTAAATATTCCACAGTCAGCTGTTAATGGTATTATAACAATGTGGAAGCAACTGGGAAGAACAGCAACTCAGCCACGAAGTGGCAGACCACGTAAAATGACAGAGTGGGATGAGCGAGTTTGGGGTGTAGGAACTTGACTGGCCTACAGAGAGTCCCGACCTCAACCCGATAGAGCACCTTTGGGATGAATTAGAGCAGAGACTGTGAGCCAGGCCTTCTCGTCCGACATCAGAGCCTGACCTCACAAATGCACTTCTGGAGGAATGGTGAAACATTCCCATAGACACACTCCTAGCATGTTAAAGCTGTTATAACTGCAAAGGGTGGACCAACACATTATTGGACCCTACAGACTAAGACCGGGATGCCATTAAAGTTCATGTGCGTGTAATAGCAGAAGTCCCAATACTTTTGGCAATAAAATGTATGTGCATGGGAGAAAAATGTGTTGGATTTGGAATAATTAGTTAAGTTAATAATTTTATTTTGCCATATACATTATATTAGAATGATTCATTTTTGGAATTTGTTTTGTATATTCAAAGTAATTTCATATATTCGTTATTTTCAATCAATTCAACATTTGAAACTTGAATTTCGAAAGACGGGTATATTTGTTCTATTTTATTCCGTTGCATTCTATTCTCTTTTTTTTCTATTTTATTCTATTCTCTTCTTTTAAAGCAGCCTGAGTAGGAATCATCTTATTTCACTTTTATACCTTACTGTGTTTATTCTAATATGTTTCCATTTCAAATCTGAATTAATTTTCATTCAAATTCAAACAAATTCATTTTTTTATTCAAATTCATTTACAGGCTCAAATTCATTTTGGAATTTGAATTCGGATCATTTGTTTTATTATAATTTATTTTGGATTCTTTGATATTTGATACTATTGTGGTTCGGAAATTCAGGTACATCCGAGTCTCCGAATAATAAAAATTCCATACGAATTTTGATTCGGAATGAAATGAATTGCATATGTCTATTATCCTGTCCTTCACATTAACCAGAAAAGGGATCAGTGGAAGGGTGCAGCATTGGCACCTAAGCTAAACTGATCCTTTTGGTTTTTGAAGTGTTATTAAATCTTAATAAAAATACACATAGGCTGGAGAACTCAGCCCTTACCATGCTTACGTGTCTGCTTTTTATTTAAAGCTGTTTTCAGTTTCCCCTCTCATAAAACTCTCCTCTCTTTCTTGCTTGCTGTTTTTGGGTGGGTTACAGGGTCCTATGGGGACACCTTTGAATGTGTAACATAGCATTTTCACACAAAGAGATAGCGTCACTTTATTGCTCCACCCTCTTTCAAGCAAGCAACTAAAAGCAGATGGAGCCTGTGCTGTAGGTATACGTGAAGTACTAGGGCACATGCTCCCCGAACCAGACGTTCAGGGAAGTGGCACTGTAGAGCTGGAGCAATGTATAGAAACTTGAATAAATATTAATCAATTCAGTTATGACATGGGGAATGTTTTACAAGCTGATAAGGATACATAAAATAAAAAGGCTGAGAGCTTTTAATACTACTTTAAAGTGTTACTAAACCCCGGACCCTGCATTCACTATCTGGTCTCCCACAGTACACAGAACATGGAAGTGCAAATATTTTAGTAAATATAAACTGCTAAATACCTTTTCTCATCAGCAGTTAGAGCAGTCTTGTCACTTCTATCAGTGTCCAGCTTGTAGGAGAAGTTTTAATTCTGCTCTAGGAGGATGCAGGACCTCTGACCTCTGTCTGGACAGCGCTGATTGGCGCTGTGTTGATCACATGCACTCTCCCAAGAAAAAAAAAACTTTCTCTAGCAACATACACCAAACTGAGCGTGTGCAGAGTCACCTACATGTTATGTCACTGCTACTTGTGGAGCTGTGGAGATAGCGGGCTGTTTGGCAATTGTCCTTATATGTCACGGACTATTCTAAGGATACGTCCATAGCCTTAAAGGATTCGTGGATCATTGGCTACTGAGATTTTTCTGCAAAGCGTTAATGACCATTCTAGAGATTGATAGTCATGGAATGAGGGTGAGTGTCAGTCCATGTGGGGCACTATTGTTGAGCACAATGGAGCACTAAGCAAGATATTGGATACAAGTTGAACACAAGCACGAGCACTTTCTTGTTTTTATTCACCAATTATGGGACTGGTTTATGTCATGTTTGTAATACGCACATGTTTATGACCAAGCGCGGTTCATTTGTTTTTTAAATATATATTTTTTTGTGGTTATTTTACACATATATATACTGCCGCAACTAGAAGTCTGATTTGTATTATTGAGTGGCTACATCCATAAGCACAGGGGGCACTTTTTATTTTAATTTATGAATACTTAATAGGACCTAAGTACAATCACCTGGAAGATATTTTTGTGCAGTGATAGAAATATATTAAATACTCATACCAACTTACTTCCAAAAACAAATGCTATATAAAAAAAACAAAAAATCATGAACCATGCCTTTAAATGTACTGTGCCTTAAAATATTCTGTAATCATAAGAATAAACAACAAACAAAATTGTACCGCATGCCCTACTCTATGTGTTTCCACATGTATCCAGAAAAAAAATATGCAGTATATCAGTACAATGCCGTGCAGTACTGACCCACCAATATCATAGATGAGCGAAGATTCAAAGAAAAATTCGATATTCGACTGATTCGGCGAATTCGTGGACAATATTCGATTCGAGTCGAATAAATTCGCTGTGAATTTAACTTAAAAAGGGTGTTTCTAGGCTTCAGAGAGACTTAATATTAGTGCAGAACACTGTACCTTTAATTTAAATGCCCTTGGAGTCTGCTGGGGAAGAGAAATAATACTGTCAGTCAGTATGACATGCAGATGAGTGCCGTCGATCTTAGAATCACCGCACACTTCACTCATTTGGGCAGTCACGGGGCCAAAACCAGAGTGTGGAGCCACAGTGTGGCGGTGGAGGCAGCAGCAATGGGAGGCCCATACAGCACCCTATGACAAAAATGGAAACCACCCAGCAGTGTGAGGAGACCTGAAAGTGGCACATGGCAGAGTGTGGCGATAGAGACAGCAGCAATGGGAGGCCGTACAGGGACCCATGACACACTCTGGACCTGGCAAGCAGCATGAGGAGGCGGTACAGGGGCCCATGACAGATTACGGGCCTGGCAGCAGCATGAGGAGTCGGTGGTACAGGGGCCCATGGCAGATTACGGGCCTGGCAGCAGCAATGGGAGGCCGTACAGGGACCCATGACACACTCTGGACCTGGCAGCAGCATGGGGAGGCGGTACAGGGGCCCATGACAGATTACGGGCCTGGCAGCAGCATGAGGAGTCGGTACGGGGGCCCATGACACACACTCTGGACCTGGCAGCAGCATGAGGAGGCGGTACAGGGGCGCATGACAGATTACGAGCCTGGCAGCAGCAACTTGGACAGGAGGACGTTCAGCTTCTGCACCGTCGGGTGCGTGCTCGCAAACTGTTGTCTCTTGGAAACGGATTCCAAGAAAGACTGCTGACGGAATCCGTGAAGAGGAGTAGCAGGAGAAGGAGCATTGCTGAACGAGCGGAATATGCCAACAAGCGACAACAGGGGGCCCATGACAGATTACGGGCCTGGCGAGCAGCAGCATGAGGAGTCCGGATGACGGGGGCCCATGGCAGATTACGGGCCTGGCAGCAGCTTTGGGAGGCAGAGTGTGGCGATGGAGGCAGCAGCAAGGGGAGGCCGTACAGGGACCCATGGGACTGATTTGGGCAGCAGCTGAGGGGGGGGGTTGGGGGCCCCGGGCAGATTGGGCCTGGCAGCAGCTATGGGGGGCCCCTAATCTGCCAGCACCCTATGACAAAAAATGGAACACCCCCGCAGTGTGGGGACCTGAAATGGCACATGTTTGGGGATGTTTCATGGCGGATTTAGTCAGTTGTGTGGAAGGGGTTTGAAACCCAGACTAATCCCCCCTGTTATTTTCCAAAGTGAGTCTCCCACACTTTGGTGGGACGTGTGTCCCCCCGCGGAGTTGCAATACCCCCCGCCGCACTAAAAACAGCGTCCGATGCCACGTAGGGCCCGGGCTTTGACGCCTTTCAAGGGAATTCAGTAGGGGGGCCCAAAGGTCAAGTTTTTTCCCCCAGTAGTAAAGGGGTTGTCTCCCTGGGTTTGGGCAGGGTGCTGTCCAAAGAGGCCAAAGCCTGTTGTTGGGTCCTGCTCCAGGCCCACCTGATGTGCTGCTGCTGCTGCGGGCTGGTTGTGTTTCCTCACTGGCGGTGAAGAAAGTACTCATATCGACTGCAGACTGAGGCACGCTGCTGGGGGAGCTCCCACTGCCCTACCACCCCCCCCCTCCCTGCTGCCAGGGCGGGAAACCGGGCGCACAGGGCCCACAGTGTCCTGGGGATGGCGTTGGCGCAGACGGGCAGAGCCCGTGTTACATAGGTTTTTTTTAGTCGTTATTTTGGCCCCCCTCTCAGAGGTGTGAAAAGGCCCCATTTTTGAACGGTAGCGGGGGGCCCCACAAGGTGGACACCCCAAAAGTCCCCCTTGTCTGATGGTTTTATTCGGCTGTCGTAGAAGCAAAGAGCATGTTTGGGGCCCATTTGTGCCAAGGAATGCGAGGGACTCCTCCCCTCCATCTCCACAGCTCTCCCCACGGGTGCGTCTAGGCCCTCTGTCCCCTTTTCCCTCTCCTCTACC